TCCTCTATAGAGTTCTATTCAAAGACTATAAAGGCTTGTGGACAGGACTTTAAAGTCTGCTCACCCAATTTAACAAAAAAAAAAGGTGTTCTCTCCTGCTTCCTGTGGTATCAGTGGCTTTGAGGTATCTGTCTCGAAGGGAACAAGACAAGCCTCCTCGTTTGTCTCTCCCCAAGTTTTCCCACACCACTCAAACTACACTCGTTTCCTGTTTCAAGACTCCAATCTTGTACAACTTCTCCTTTGTACTGCCAAGAAATGCCTCTGGATGTTTGGCTGCCCCGTCAATCAGAGAACCATGCGGTGAACCATCACCTGTTCCGACCCCACATTGGAGGAATTAACTCCACATTGAAGTCAGGGCAGGTGGTCACTGCACATCTTCTACCACACACCTTTTACAACACCACCACTCCCTATACTTGCACGTACAAACATGGCACCATTAAACTACAAATGCAAAAAGATATGTTTCTTTTCATTTATTTTGAAAAGACCGTAGCCAAAGTTGTTAAAGGCGGACACAATCCTCTTGCTGGGGACTCATGTTGAACTAGTGTTATTTGAGTGTCAATATGTTCTCCCTTGGCTATAGTTAAACATTCAAAGCACACAAACAGTGGAGCAATGCCAACACACCGTCCTCGTCTTATCCACAACTCTCCCTCTGTTGCTCTTGTAGATGTTGGGATCTATTTCAACAAAAAGAATGACATATTACAGTAAACTTACTCACTTCAAAGGAGGAAGCTGTTCAAAGACCTGGGAGCAGCTGGAGAAACTGTTACTGTTACTCTGCACACCTTACTCAACCTGGACAACTGGACTACAATGGAATAACTGTACAGTATTAAACTATAAAAATACAAACTATAAAAAGAAACATTAATAACAAAAGAATGGCAGCAACACAGCATTGCAGCATCTAGTCTACCTAATCTAAAGAAGGTTGTCTGTGCAATTAAGCTGCTGGCAGCAAAAACATAACATGGAGCCCCGTTTCTGAGCTTTAAGTGTTTTCCTGCATGATGCAACTATGACAGGTAATGTTAGACAGCCAATCACCAGCATTATTAGATCTTACTCCTTAGATATCACAATTTGGAACCGAATGACATTTTTTGATATTTGCAGGTCATCAGCAGCCTAAAGATCATGGAGGTCCATGCAGATCAGGAGACGGACTGTGAGGGACTCAACAAGACCTGAACCAGTAATGCCCGAAGACTGAACATGTGTGTTCAGCTGTGGCCTGACAGGCTGAGTGGTTTTAATAATCATTCAGAACGTAGAAAGGTCAGAGGTCAACAGCACTTCTGCTGCTGGCATAGAATGTGATTTTTCTTTATCAAGACACATTTTACAGTAATATTAATATTCACATTATTGATCAACAGTACTTTCCAAAGAGTCCATTTATTAATTTTTAGTCTTTCAGGGTTGTACTAATCTTACTAATAATGTAAGATAACAACAATTTTCCTGTGAACTCTCCTTTACCAATTCATCCTTCATCACCATTTACATTGAAATCAGTAGTTTTTGGTCTGATCAAGAAAAATATTCAATTTGCAAGATTTCATAGTCAATAACTGATCACATTTTGCTTTACAGGTACACATTAAATGTTGCCTCAAATGGTTTATTAAAAACATATGCATCAGTCACAGGCTCCCATAGAGATTCAAACCTGCAGCTGTTTACCCAGTAACAAGACGCAGACAAATAAATTTACACTAAGGAGACATTACGGAATTAGAACATGTCCAACCTGACTAAACAAAGCAGAACAACAAGAAACAAAATCTGAAACAGTAACACACTGACACAAGATAGTTGTGATTACCTTTGCTAAACGTTAAGTGCTGTCGTGTGTTTTCATTCAGACGTTAGACAGACATAATGCAGAATCTGTATGTTTACAGAAAAGTTTGACTTGTCACTTACAAAATTACTAGCTTAGCATCATGGCTGTTTCAAAGACTCAAAGGCATGTTTTAAGACATACTGTATACAAATACTTAGCTGTAATTTGTGCCTGATATGGTTTTCCACAAAAAGTTTTAAATGACCTTGTTCAAGATTCTTAAAATTACATACGGCTTCTCCCTCATATGTATTTTTGAGCGGAGGGGTACTTGATCATTTTCTAGCTTAAACATGTTCTGGAGAGGAAAACAAAAGTTAAAGTTTTTAAAGGGAAAATGTTGCAAGTCTACACATTTGAACTGTAACTGAAGCTACTTGTTTTGATACTCTATTGAAGACAATTTTGTAAACCCCTGTGTTGTAACACTATTATATATGTTCCTGTTTCCGGTATTCCTGTATCTCTGTCACTATCTAACACAGGAAAAAGTAAAAAATTGTCAGTTTTTCAACAATTTTGTGATCACTGTTGTCTGGGAGATAATGGGGTTTAATGATGATGATGTCAGCTGGAGGTAAAAAAACATCATTTCTGTGTGACACTGTATGGATTTGAGGTTCGAAAAGAAACTGCATCAATTACTTTACGCGTGATTGAACATCTCCACTCACACAGAGCTGATGTTTGAGTCAAGTTTTTCCCTTGAAAACATATTTTGCCCCATGAACTGGTGTCTCCATGTGACGTTTACATGTGTTGTATTACTGATAGGATTAGGTGCTTTGTACAAATAATGTGAAGCTGTAGAGCATATTAGAGCTCAGAGGAAACCATTGATCGTGGCAAATAAACCACTGCATTGTATATGTTATTTCAACAGGATCTTTCAAGGAAGAATTTTACCTCCTTCATTGCTGTTTCTCATCCATACTGCAGATGAAAGAGGCAGCATAGGGACTATGTAACTCAGATTTTATGGTTTTCGAGGCAAACTACTCCCCACTGATTCACCCTAAACCTGAAAACTCATATTCGGGGTATGTCCAGTCCCATGGTGCCACTTTCTGTCTTCATGCTACAATCTTCGTCTTCACTCTGAGTGCATGTCAGCACTGCTACATGTGAAAATACTCTAAGTGCTGTTCCAGTTTGGATGGTGCTCGCTGTGAAGATGGGTGTCTCAGTGACCGTCTAATTACTGAGCAGCAGTGTGTCGACATACTGAGACCTTCATGATGATCTGCAGTCTGCCGCTAATGAGGCTGTTTGGCCTAAGACCATCGAAATTCACTGCATTTGTGATCCAAGTTAAATTTACTTTTAATCAGAGTAGTAAAAATACAAGTCTAATAAGGAGACAGTGATGGACTGAAGGCCAGAGAGGTGAGAAGACCAGAAGGCTGCTGGTTTGATTTGCTGCATTGAAAAGCAACCACAACAAAAAAAAGATAATGAAAAACATAATTTGAATGGTATTGTAGATCAAACAGCTGTCCATCCCAATTTTATATTGGATATCCTAAAAGAAAGAGGTAAGTAAACTATTTCAAGGTTTAGGAACACATACAGCAGATGCACGGCTTTGCTTGAGTGACCCTATTATATTTAAAGAGTACCTAAAAAGCATTTAGCATTGCACTCCCATATCATTGTCAAACTCTAGACAAGACAAAAAAAAGGATCAATATTGATGCAGCAGAACCAAAGATATACTCCCATATATACATAGTCTCACAATGCAACTCATCCTCTGACAGTTCAGTCACATATTCATTATGCCAGTCGTGGTTTACATAGCCTCAATCCACAAGCCTCTAGCCGTCATAAGGAAATAGGAATCGTGTTTTTGTTACCCATACCATACTACATACCAGCTCTGATGCTGATATACGGTATCCTACTTCCCAATTTAAAGCTTATTAAAAAACTGCAAAACCCAAAGAAACTAGCCTGATGTGGTAACTCTGCTGCAGACAGCTGGCCGCTGAGCTATTAACCTTATAAACAGTACTTACTGTATTAAGGCCTAGCTTTCCACTGAACCCAACGTTTGAACCAACAACTGAAACTTAGCATAAACTGAACAAAGAATCAGCATCGAATGCGGAAATGATAATGGGAACGATGATGTAATCGCTTACTTAAAAAGGTACTTTGTAATTCCGCCTATACTTGAAATAACCTCCTAACTTCATCACCGGCAAAAGGGACTGCACCATCTCATCTGTAAAACAACTGAAACAGACAGAAATAGCTGCAACATAAACATCAAATGTTGAATTTGGATTAAATCAGAGCTAGTTTTGTGTAGTGATCAAGCTTTTAGATTTTCGTGTCTGTTACTGCTATATTTACCTCCGCCAAAGAGGGCACCAGGATTACAGAAAAACTATTAAGAGATTTTCATTAAACTTGTTGGAAGGGTGCAGCATGGGCCAAGGAAGAGCCAATAAAATTTTGGAGCGGAACCACAAATTATTTTTCACTTTCCTATGGCCAAATAAACTGAATGAGTTGAGCATGTACAAACCCGTTGTGATGAATGTGAATGGTGTGCAGATTTGCAGACTGGACTATTGGCCTTGGCGAGGTCTGTGCTCTCCGAGTGCCTTTCTAGTTTCAACTGCAAGACCATAGCTGCTGTTGAACATTCTTAGTAATGGCAACACCCGAGCGGTTTAGAATCAATTAGGCAAAAAAAAAAAAAAAGCCTCACCTTTCTAAAAAATACATTAATGCATCAGTGTGATTGATGGTTGGGATCAATTGGAGGAAAAGCCCTGCAGTGCGCCTCGCTTTTAAGGCGTCACTTCTAATCACTATCTTAATGAAAGACATTTTATAGTCACCCCTAAGATACACAGAAGAGGTGAAATCAGATCATGAGCTCCAAAGCTAAAATAAAATACCTGTAATGATTTTGCATTTCTAGAGAGAACTTCTCTCTAGATAAATTTCAAGTTCAAGTTTCCCTACTGCAGCATTGAGTGATATTAGAGGAACTACAGCTGAGGATGCACCAGCATTTACTTCATCATTCAGCCATGGAGGTTGACGTACAACTCTTACAAGTAAGTAATCAATAATAAATATACAGTGTGTCTGTACCTGTTGACCTCTTGCGGCTCACCTGGCAGGCGTTGTACAGCAGCTGGTGCTCAAACTTGCGGATGCCGAGGATCTGCTGGAACATCTCGTACAGCTGCTCCTTACTGAGGATGAGCTCAGACACAGCGCTCAGGTGCGCCCGCTGTGGCTGACGCCGCATGTCCTCGTCCCCCCTGTAGATGGCATCGTATTTGGCGATCCAGGAGCTCAGCACCGTCTCTTTGCTCAGGCCGTCGATCTCTGGGAGGCTTCTGACGCGCCGCTCGATGTTCTTCTTGAAGACCTCGCGAAAGTCGTTGGCTGAGCAGCCGCCGCTCTGGACCATCCTGGAAACCCGCTCACTCTTCAGGAAACCCTGCCACAGAGAGAGATTCAGAACAATAAGCACTATTTATTTAACTTTTATTTAGCCAGACCTGTCCATCTTAAAGTCAGAATCCCCTTTTCCAGAGGTTTTATTCTTACCACAGGGAGTTCCTACACTTTGAACAAATGTTCCAAGCTAAGACTTTTAGTTTTTAGAGCCATAATGAGGTTAATGTAGATGCTTCTTCCATCAGTTATATCAGAACTGGAGACTATTTCTTCATTGAAAAAAGAGCAAAGAAGATTTTATGAGTATGTCCCTGAGCTGAGACTGGATGCAGCAGAACTCAAAACAAAGAACTCACAACAAGCCAAACAAAAAGAAACACAAGTTCCACATCTAATCTGGTTAGTGCTTGAATAAATCATGGCACAATGTAAAATTGGCTTCCAATTCCTTTTATTTTAATTGAAAAGGCACTTACTTTAAAAAGTAAAAGAAAATGTCATAGCCTTTTTTCAAACTCTGTTTGTCTCTGTCTCTGTTGAGACATTTTTAGACTGAAAGCACCAAAACATCCAGAGTGCACGCAAGAGTGTCCTGTCCTCCTCCACACAGTAATTCAGCGGGTCTAATGTTAAATTCTCTGCTTCGTTCACATTTGTGGCTTTTGACAGAAGTTCTTTATCCAAAGCGACACTCACTGAGTCTGACAGAAGAATAAGTGGTTCAGACTGAAGCAGCGGTAGCTCAGTGTGACATTAAACAGTCTCTCAGCTGGCTGCTTCACCTCTTCCTGTTAGTTGCTCTGAGACTCTGAAGAGCAGAACATCAGTGAGAAAATGATTCATATAAGGGAGGCAGGGAGCTCAGAGAGCAGCAGCTCAGGACAATTTGAAGAGACTAACAGAGACAAACATCAAACTGGACATAAATATTAAAGTTTGGAAAACATTTGATGTATTCCGTTCTTCCTTCTACTGAGGTAATGATTGATTCCATCGCTGAAATACAAATTCTACTGTATTTGGCAGGGGGATATTTCTAACTTCAATATCTACATCTGGAAAAAAACAATAAAAAGAAATATAGACTGCAGTAAACTTTAAGCAATTGCTGAACTTTGTTGAAGTTATGTGCATCAGAGATTATGTAAGACACTCAATAAATTACAGTCCAACTGGACTGAGAGTTGCACTCAACACGATCAATATTTCAGTGTTCCAATTTATCTGATAATGATGAATCAGCAAGTATTCATTTAACTAACACAACATTTTTATAATGGTGGCTTAAAGAATAGGGGCCTGATATGCAGCGGGTTGGAGATTTTATAGTGTATAAACAAGCTTGTCAGCCCTCTCTGGTAGACAAATTACTTAATGGAGACACTTTGATATATAAAAATCATTTAAAATATTTCCCGGTTAGCTCAGTGGGTAGAGCTGGCGACCCACGTACCAAGGCTCAGTCCTTGCTGCAGCGGCCCAGAGTTCGAATCCGACCTGCGGCCCTTTGCTGCGTGTCATCTCCTCTCTCTGCCCCCCTTTCCTGTCTGTCTTCAGCTGTTCTATCAAATAAAGGCAATCAAAAGCCTAAAATATATATATATATATATATCTATATATATATAGATATATATATATATATCTATATATATATATATATATATATATATATATATATATATATATATATATATATATATATATATATATTTTCTTTGATATTTACTCTACAGACACCAGCCCTATGTTTCTCCACACTTGGTTTTAGCACTGGAGAAATGTCTGGCTGGAACCATTATGATTTTGGTAAAGTGGGGAAAAATACGCTGGCTTCTTTGTATTTCTTACAATCAATCACAATGGTCTTGGGTGGCGCTAAGACCAAGATGCAGCAACAGTGCCCTTGCAAAATAGTGTCGGAAGATAGAGGAAGGGGAGGAGAATGCCAACTGAAATATTTGGTCAATGGCAGATTTATACATTTTAGCCTACTTCCTACGTAATGGACAACATTATGTTAATCTGATGGTAATTTAACGTGTTGATCAGAATAAGCACCCTGGTCACTTTTATGTAAAAGTCATAACTGTGATTTTACTGTTGGACCTGTAGCGTTATGCTCAATGTAAGTCTGAATACAGATTACCATAAAGGCTAGCAGCACACTGTGAAACATGCAGAGAGAGAGATTTAATGTACGTCTTGAATCGCCTTCTAAGATCCCTATAATAAATGTATTATTTCAATCTTTGTTTCTTTCTGCAGGAATTCTCTGTATGTAGATATATATATGTTAACAATCCATGAGTGTACTCTTCATGTCCTCATTAGCTATTTCTATTATGACTTTGTGGAAGTCCATGTGTCCTGGGTCACATTTTCATTAATTCTTGTAACACGAATAATCAAAGCTCTCAGATAAAAAGACCGCTTCCACCTGAACCTGACTATTATTTCACCCAGAAAATTGTTTAGCTGAAATGAATATTTCCTTTCCTTGCCATTTACCGCTGAATGAATGAATCCCTCAACCAGCTGCCGCGGCATGAATGCTTGTGATGTCTGCAGGAACTACAACCAATGTAAACCTCAAAAGAAGCCACTGGGCTAGAAAACAGACCCTCAATAGACTGTCCAGAAGATAAGATAAGAAGAGTTTTTTCCTTAGAAATTCTCTATGTCCACTTTCAGCCAACATGTGCTGTAAAACCATCCTGGTAACAGAACACCAACTCCTTTAACATGATTCATTTACTGTAAATTATTTTGGATATGACAGTTAAATACATCAAATGCCAAATGAAAAAAAGAATAAAAGAAAAACTGCACTCAAGTTATAAAGCAATAGAATTCATGTAGCAATTAAAAACAGCTGGGAGCTATGCAGGTACAAGTCATGAAAGTAAAACAACCTGGCCAGACTTTCATGCACTAATTTCAAATGTATGATGCCCAGTGGGATGAAAACACAGGTTTTAATGTGTGCTGTAGTCTGCAGTGATTTTGTGTAATTAAACATAATGGAGGACGTCTCCAGGGGCAGAAACACTTGACATGTCTGCAGCAAAACAGATCTGAAGAAGCAAGGAGAAAGTTTTCCTCCATTAGTAGACTCATTCAGCCATCTCATTTATTCTGTTAGTGTTCAGAATTATTAGTTATTTATGTTCGATTCAATTATAATAATACAATAATATAAAGGCACAACATTTGCAGCTGCAGTATTGACTTAATAAAAGATAAGACGTGTTGTTTCATCCTTCTATTGTTAACAACTTTTCCTCTGGAAAAACTAAAAGCAACAATAAACTGATTGTACTGACAAGTACTGTGTGTATCCAAAGCCTGATATATCTTATTCCTCTGTAACATGGAGCTTCATTGTTCAAAAATTGGGTGATTGTCACAATTTGTTTTTATAAAAACTAGTGCTGTCAAACGATTAAAATATTTAATCGCAATTAATCGCATTAATGTCATAGTTAACTCGCAATTAATCGCACATTTTTATCTATTCTAAATGTCCCTTGATTTCTTTTTGTCCCATTATTTTTTCTCATTTTAATGCTCTTATCAACATGGAAAAATGGATCGCCTTTCTTTGTGCAAATGTTGTTTTTATTGAAAAATCATCCATTGTCGCCTGGCTTTGATGAGGGGGCGGAGAATTCGCATCAGCTGTGTGCTTGGCCATCAATTCAGAATATTATTGGCATCCATTTCGGCGTCTCGCGCTCGCCATCCACTCAAAACGTAACGTCAACTACTCTTAAACAAGTGTGTGCAGTATGCCTGTTTTGTTTCCAGTCTAGCTAGATCCGGTGTGTTGTTGTAGTTTTTCTAACGTTAGTTGTTGCAACAGCATGTGAAAAAAACTACAAAGTTAAACAAACGTTAATCTTGCGATAAAAAAATTTACGCCGTTAAAATGGGTTTGCGTTAACGCCGTTAATAATGCGTTTAACTGACAGCACTAATAAAAACAGTTATGATTGCATTCTGCTCAATGCGACCACATGCATACATGACCAATAATCTGTCAAATTCAACTAAACATTTTCATTGGTCGTGCCGATGTACTTGAAATATATCACCTGATAAAAAGACAGCACTGTGGCATATTCTGTAGGACTGTAACAAAAAGTTTGAAACTTGGAAGCTTATAACAACATTCAACATTCAAAACTTTTTTGGTTTTTTTTGTTTTGTACGTGCATTCATTCTGCAGCAACGTGCAGGGTGTGAGATCGGGACTCTGCACGGCTGTGTGTCTGTTTGACCGAGAGTGGGGCTGAGCTACACACATATACAAGCACAGTGGACAGGATGAAAGTGGGGCCGTGTTTATTTGTGGTTTAGAATGTAACCGCTGTGAAAGAATCAGAAAATAATTTTTCTGATAATTTCTCTGATTCACTGCTTTGTTCTTCCTAAGGTGTTCGCTCTCTTCACTTACTCTCATTTGATCTCTCTCTCTCTCTCTCTCTCACTGTTACTCAAGCTTTGAATAATTTATTGAAACTTGAAGGTTTATTACTAACAGCAACCACAAAGCCTACTCCCTCTGCCTTTACATGACAAAAAAAACCTAACTATTCGATTAATCCCTTCATTCCAATTGAGTTTTTTCTGTTGAAGGGTTTTTTGTATTATTCTTTCAGTGTGATAACATGATAATATGATGACACACATCCAAAGCTTCATTCAAATACCTCAATAGAATCTTCAAATTAAAAAAATGACATTCAGTACTATCCTGATACTCTGTAAGGACCCAGGAGCCATGTTTATATCCGTTCTGACTTCCTGTGTCTGGATGACTTTCAGTATGCTGAAAGGCTGAAGGCTGTGCTGTGACGACCGACAGACATCAAATAACACGTGCCCCGACTGAATCACGTGACCAGCTTCAGTCTGTTCTGAGGGTTGGAAACGTTGTCTCATGAGAGCGATAGACCTGCAGAGCGTGAACCAGCAGATGGAGAGGAACCACCGTGGAACTATAAGAGTAACGATGTGGAACAGACATCAGCAGAAGCT